TGCCGGCTCACTCTGTCTTGTGAATCTTTTAACGAGTATTTGTAGCTGTAAATAATTTATTAATGAATTTAACTTCTTATTTTAGTTTTTATCAATCGCAAAAACTTCAAATACAAATGCTCACTCAACTGTGACGCTGTTAAACTAAGAGGCTGTCTATTTTCTTTATTAAATTATAATGAAGATTTGTATCTGGTATTTTGTTGAAATCAGTACTGTTTGTTAGTTAGTCTACTGTTTTAATGTGGGATTATAAACCAGGTCATAATTAATTTACAGCAAATAAAATATAATGTGAATAAATTCAAAGGATTTATATACAAAAGCATTAATTTACGTGACCAAAATTACAACCTGGGACCTCTCACCTGTCACTGTCGCTACTAACTGATGAGTGAAAGATTTCATTTTTTTTTTGAATACTTCTTATTTGTTTAAAACTTATTTGCACGAAGACACGTATAGATTTTTACAAACTGACCAGTAGTCGAAAGTAAAAATATAATTCGTGCTTTTTTATATTCGTGCTATTTTATGAGTAGAGTTAAGTTTGTTAAGAAAATCAATTTTGTAAACATATTACTTAAATTTTTGTTCGTCTTCTTATTACTATTATGTCGCTTAAACTTTACATCTCGGTTACATATGAATTAGTTTAGTTTATGCTTAAAGATAGACTTAGTAGTTAAAATAGAAAAGTAAAATAGTAAAAGTTTAGTTTAACATTGTGCTATAATGGGACGTTTAACTCGCTCGCCGGCATCACATCTGTCAGATCTTTTTTGTTGTAGTGATGTAGTCTGTATAATATAGCAAATAATAAAACTCGGTCACCGGAGAATTGTTAATAAAGATTAATAATAACCATGTTTCATTGTGATCAAAATCAGTAACGTGAATGTGTATTGAAATTATGAAGACAAGAACTTAATTAAAGTAGGAAAATACAAACTGGTATCTAATTAGTTTTATAAAATATATTTAATAACGGATGATAAATTTCAAAATGATATTTATGATATGATAGGATTTTTAATGACATTAATTATTTAATTAAGCATTATTGTTTCCATGTTAATGATATTTTCATATTTTCACTCTTATGTCGTATAAATTAATATTTTTATCGTTACAAGAAACATATCTTTGTATGAAAATTATAATGGAAAAGGTTTTTTTCCTTAAATTTTAATATAATGATATTTATTAATCGTAATAATAATAACTACCATGATTGTTGAACATCTTATTCCTCTCTCTCTCTTTATTGAATCTTTATTATACTTTATAATATTTAATTCTTTATTATCTTACCCAATTGTGCTTAGAGCACCACATAAATTAAATGTGATCAAAGTACATTTATTTAGCAGTTATTATGAAACGTTGCATTCTGAGCAAGAACATGATATCATCACACGATATTGATAAATATATATATTTTTCACATCATATAATTTTATTATGAACATATATGGATACAATAAATATTAAGATACAATCTTGAACATCCATAATAAATACCGAAATTGGAAAAACCATTGCGTTTTAATTCAATGAGCCGAGAACGTTCTATGTTTTATAATAGACTGTGCTGTATCGTGTTCGTGGAGTAGGTTCATATTGATGATAGGTACATATACTTACATAACACTCAGGAGATTTTCCTTTTATTAAGTTTTGATATAAAATATTGTTTATTAGAATTAAAGTCTCTAATGAAAAACATCTAGCTTATTGGAATTAAAAATATACATTAATATAATATTATATATAAAATAATAGATTCTTCAGTAAATATGAAACAAATATAGTTTTTATTGACAAGTCTACTCTAGTTCACAAGTCTTTAGTTGAAAATAAACTTAATATTAAGACACGTACAGAAAGTAATAAGGAAAAATATATTTTTTTTATGTTATTCGTACATGACGAAAAATACGATCCATAGTGTCACACAACACCGGCCCTGGTGTTATGTGGTATGAACAAAAACCTTTCTATTGGATCAGAATAACGATAAAAGTATTTGAGTAACGTGGCGCGAATAGAAAAAAATATTCCGTCAACAGATAACGACCATTTGAAAAATTTGCGTTTTAAACATAGTTGAAATACGTATAAAGATATAAATTTGAAATTGTTAAAGTATAACTAATGTGTTTGGAATTTTAAAGCATTGATGATTGATTGTATTATGGAAATGTGTAATGTGTAAAATAACATTCATTAGATGTCTCTACGAAACATTATTACTCACACCGTTTACTTTAATGAAGACGATATTAGTGACAGAGCGAAGACAATAACAGACCAGTTAGAGTTGGCTTATTGTTAGGTTTTAGTTCAACCACAAAGGAAACTTTGACGTGATTCAGACGTTTTACATTACATTGGTGTTTTGTTTATTATTATTAATGAATGAGACATGATTTCTTGGAAAACTTACCATATATAACGTTATTTTTTTGTGTTTTAGATCGAATCAAAAAAAAGTTTTGGCCTCAGAAAAATACAAATATAATATTATATTGTTTTGAAATTGTTTAAATGAATATATATTTGAGTACAAATTACTTTACACTTATCTGTCTGTGTTGAATTTTAGAGTAGTAATTCGTTTTTAAAGTAATGAGTTTTACTTTAAATAGTTACCTAAATAGTCCTGATTCCTTGATTTGTCTATTTTTCATTATAATAATATTAAATGGATACATAACTGACAATATTATAAAATATGTATAGTATTGAAATCTGAATGATAACATTCTATTATCTTCTTATAATAATGAAATCTCGGAATACAATCGGACCTTCTATGAGTCTCCATCACTTGTAATATATTAAACATACCTAATCAAGCAACAAGTTCGAGCACGCTAAAGTTTAATATTTCATATAATAGTCGAGTATAACATATTAAATCAAAGTAACTTGTCGATTGTAATCCGAATCATTAATTCCTTTCCCAAAAGGGGTTTCAGTAACAGATATGTGATCTCTGACTTGAGGCAGGCGATTAAACACACGACCACAAGATACTACCGAGATTACAGTTGTTTGTGACCGGAGGCTCGAGACAGGACCCGCAGGCTCCCGCTAGAACACTCACTGTACTTGATAGGGATTTACACTACTATTAAATAATATTCGATATTTCATTTGATTTGATTCGACGATATTAAATGTATATTGATAAGGAATTTAAACGCTACTCTCTATATCTTACGAGTTTCCCTACGATTATAATACTTTGACAATAAAGTTTAAAACAGAGATGAGTTACAAGTATTTATTTTTATTAGAATCAATTTTAATTTGATCCAATAAATTGATTTCATTGACACCTTTGCAGAATAGTGTCTGAGTAATTTATTAACACGTCTCTGTTTTATACTCTAATTGTCAGGTTGGATTTTTGTTCTTAGTTTGTTTTCAGTTAAAATTAACACTTTGTTACGTCTCTGTTCATATTGTTTCTGAAGATCGCGATCGATTTAAAACAAAACAAAACATCAAAACTCAATGCCACGTCATCGACGATCAGTTACTCTTTAGTAGCGAGGACAGATTTTATACGAGAGTATTCCTCTATTTTCTGTATTTTTGTATTATGGTACTATTATGACATTAGTTATATTTTGATTCCATTAGAACAACAGCTCTGAACTCAACATTTCCATTAAGATATGAGCCATATAAGTAAGGTTTCTTTCTTTGATTATTATATTCTCTTAAATCAATCCATAGTAATTAACAGTAATAATATAATTATTATAAAACATTATAGAGAGTATCTTAAAATTAGTTTTGTACAGAAAGTCATTATAAAGTTATATTTTTTTAGTTTCTTTATAGTAGTGTGTAATATAATCTACGCGACGAGTAGCGGCATGTTGTTAGTGCACAGCGCATTAGGTAACACACATTGCAGTTGTAAATTGCACGGATTTGTGTAATTTTATTCACTGTTCATATCATGTGATGTAAAGGTTAATAGAATATTTAGTTGAAGCGTATCTCCAACATTGTTGATAATGTAAAATAACATGATTATTATAAAAATCACATCCACTGTACTAATGACACTATTAACTGTAACAGCGTTTTTTTTGTTTGTTCTTTCTTTTCCTTATTACCGTCTGCTGAGTTTGTGTAAGTACGTGCGACGAAACGACTGACTCATTAGCTCTAGTTTCTAGAAAATTATATATGATTCAACGTAATAATTATTTATTTTGTTATGGAAACAATACAATTCTTACCTTGTATCTTTGTTAAAGATATTATAAGCATACAAAGTAAATAGCTTACTATTTTTAACTCAATTTAACGACTTACAATCTAGTTTTTTATTTTATAAATACAGGTATTTCTTAATTACTGACTCTCTGAAATATATATTTGTTCTAACAAAATTGTCACGTAAATAAGATAATCAGGATTCACGATGTTCACGTATCGTTTAGAAAAATGAGCTAATTTTGCATTGTTGAAGACTCTAGAAGTCAGCTTTTCAAGGTCGCTCGTCATAAACCAAAGAGTAGCAGATGTTAGATGAGCCTGTTTCATTTGATACATGGCTATTATAGCGATGTATCAATGTTCTGACAAAGAATATGTTTTATTTATTTGATACCGCGAAATAAAATATTGAAAACTTACAAAAAAAAAAACATGGACTGTTATAAATAACTCAATGAGAAAATAATCATAAAATATATTTTTTATGGTATATGAGGTAGTCTTTATTTGTGGTATTAAAATCATATGTCCGTTAATATTTGTTGAATGAAGGTTTATATAATATATTTTATGTTAATAACAAACGTTCTGTTCCTTCTACATACTTGTTGATCTATATACACCGTCACAGCGGTCATCGATGCGCCCCCCCTCGCCCCCCCCCTGCCCCCCCTCCTTGTATATAGCCTCCAGCGCTCGCGCCGCCGCCAGTTTTTATAACATAACGGAAAGACACGCACGTCTGTCCAAGAATCATGTTCTCGCCGCGATTTCTAATGCTCTGTACCTTGGTGGCTGCCACCGCCGCGTTTCCAGCAAACAATAATCCTATCATCCCCAAGCCTATTACGACGATAACGGAAACAGATTTCGACGAGCCCTCTCCTTGGTTCAGATTTCCAGTCTTTGGTAACATATTTGCGCCGCTCACGAAGTTGTTCTCTACCTTTGCTGATGTAGGACCTAGAATTGAAGTTGACGACGATAGTTTTCGAGTAGTCGTTAATGTCAAGGACTACAAAAAGGAAGACTTGAAAGTAAAAGTAAAAGGTGGGTTCATCTTTATCGAAGGATCTCATGAAGCCAAACACGACGATCATGACTTGTTCGCCAGCCAATTCTTCCACACATATACACTACCTTATAACGCAAGTGCCGAAGAAGTTAAGGCTGTACTAACCAGCGATCAATTTTTGGAAGTAAGTGTTCCTTTGAACGGCGGTGCTGGCAAAGATGACAAGGAAGTAGATAGAGTAGTACCAATCGTCGAAAGTGGAGAACCATTGGAAAAAGTAGACAAGCCTCAAAACGATGATGTCGAACTTGTAAGTAAAGCCGGCGAAGAACCAAAATCAACGACGGAGGTAGCAACCACCCTGGCTGAAGTAGAAGATGAGCGAAAGGAACCGACAACACCAGCTGAGGTCGAAGCTACAACGACAGAGGACAACAAAATCCCCAGCGATGAACTAAATGAGGTCAGCGACGCTAACGAAATCAAACCTTAAGTGATATATTAGACATAAGTAAATATTTATAAAACAGTATTGTAATAAATATTTTAATACGAATAGAGTGTTTTGCTTTATACGCGTTCTGCATGCGTGGAGCGTCCGTGTTTAATAGATGGAGCGTTGCATGAATACAAATTGCGTCTTGTTTTGGACGACCTGCTGCAAACAATAGTGAATTGTTTTATTTTTGCTTGTTTGTCTGCGTCATTTGTTGTCCAAATTTAATCTGTAAACTTATTTGTTGTTATATGTACCAATACAACATTTTATGAGTTGAATGTCATGTCATATCAGTTTCAGTAACTCGATTATTGTAATAATATCCATTTATGTCGATACTAAGAGATTAATATTGAACTTTCATGGGATTTATAAATCAAAAATAACATCAAAACAACATTAATTATATTTAAAAAAAATGCCGAAAACTTTTTGAGAAGTTATTGTTTACTTAATGAAATTATGACCTTTTATTCTTATTAATATCCATTACATATTGAAAAGTTATATTTAATTTAAAATATTTTTCATTAGTCAAAAGATGATATCCGGGTAAATGGACTTGAATCCATATTAATAAGGTCAGACGCATACATTACTAATAAAATATTCAACAGATCTCATTTCCAATAATATAATGAGGTTGTGCTATAAATATATGACAATTTTTTTTACTTAAACACGGCCTAATGTAGAAAATATAAATCAGTAATCTTCATTTTAAGTCTTTTTAAAACATTAGTATATTAGGCCAAGATAAAGGCGTCCTTTCAAAGTTTTAAATAAAAATTCTTATCGACAAATACATTTAAACAGCGTCGGAGGTTAGAATTTATAAAATAAGCTAGGATTATGAAAATATCGATTGGGTTCGGCATACTTTTTTATGTATACAGTAATACAAAAACATTAACCTTTGGAGACTTCTTTGATGTTTAAGGTTTAACCTAATTAGTAATTTATATATGTACTTAGCTAGAAAGGAGCTTAAAGAGATGTATTTTTGTCAAATACAAATAAATCTTACACTCGTAGTTGCATTAAGCACCATTATAATAACTCAATCTCAAGTATGTATACGTATATAATTGGATTAAGCAGATAGTATGTGTGATTAAGTCGAGTAAGTACAATTAGTTTTTTTTTTTTTTGTGTTTAGACAAATATAATAATATCCGTTATAAGAAGCTGTACAAGTGGAACGAGTCGCAGCTAGTTAACACCAGAGACAGAAACTGTAAATAAAGTAAGTAAACGTATCCCGGTGTGAGTGTTGGTAAACATTAGAAGTCACGGCGACCACTCACACACACGGAACACCTGAACTAGGAATATAACTAACTGTAAACTATTATATTATATATAATAATATTCTTCAATATATGTACATATACGTTGTTTAAATTTATTATATTTTATAAGAAGAATCAATATTTCTATTTGTGTAATCATTATTTAAACAATTAAATCCATACTTAATTTTAAATACTGCCGTTGCCCGTTTTCCTTTATTTTAGATATTGTTAGTTTCCTTAGACAAAATCTTTGAGTCTGTATTCATGAATGGCCCCCCTTACACTCGGAAAATCTTTTAGTTTTCAGTTATAAAAGAACGCTTTTAATTTATTGTTCAATACAAACCTCTCCTGTCAATGTGTTCGTTTTTGATTTAAAGGACGAGTTGTAATAACGACAAGGTCCTCGGACTGGTTCCGAGACTATTTATAATGATCATATAGAGCAGGCGTCAGTAGTTACAGATCAATAAAATAATGATTTGAATATTAATATTATATGAACTAAATGACAAGGTGAGGAGGATTCCGGGTTGAAATGTCGCATGTTTAGGAAATGATTAACATTTGTGATCGGTCATATAATAGTGATATATGTATATAATATGGACAGATATCAGAATCAAACTAAAATATTCTTAACAGAGAACCGACCTTTAGACCATTTATTGTATCATTTATTTGTGAGTTTGATTGAAATAAATTTTAATTATTATAGAAACATCCTTAGTATTTAAATAATTCGATACATATTCATTGATGAATTCTTATGTATTATTGTAAACATAATATCTTACATTTCTTTGTCTCTGATATCTGAAAATATTTTCAGGAAATATAGATAAGAAATTATGGTCTTCAAAACCTTTTTAAAAATAAAAATCTGTGTAAATTATTTTATGTATTATACTATAAAAGCACCCTCATTTGAGTCATAGTGTTAAATTAGGTATAAGTAACTAATATATAGATTTTATGAACGGATAAAATGGTGCTATTTTCATTACAGAATACATTCATATTACACGCGTGTTTCTGAAGTCTCATACTTTCTCGTATGTTCAGAGCCGGTGACACACATACACGATACACGCGTTACTGAGTCTTACTTCTGTGTATTGATAATCCTCTGTATGGAAGATCAACTTGAGCTCAACAAGAGTTTAGTTTGTGGGATGAATTGTTGTAACGGATAACAAGAGTATACCTTAAATTTAATACATTCTGACGATTTATGTTAATATATTACGAGTACTCTAGCGACTAAGTAATAAAAATGTGGAAAGTAAATCTCTTGTTTCTAAACATATGTTATATGTATTTATTTATGGTGGAGAGTTGGTGTCGTGACAGACCCAGTTGTACCACACGAGTGACGAGTTGAATCCTTCATTATAAACGATGTAAACAAACCCTTGACACATTTACTACATATCTTATTTACATATCTAAAGCCTTATAAGATAAATTTTCAACTGAATCATATAATTTTCCTTTTTATAGCAAATACATTTATCTTCACTGAAAAAAACACGGAACGTTTGTTAGGGAGATAATAAACGACCTTTATGTTGGGTCGTGTGATTGAACGTACCATAATAAAACGCTGTGTTTTATTATTTTTCGATGCCTCGTACTCATCATTAAATTATTTTTAAATTTGGATTTTTATTTCCATTCTAGAATTTATTTATAAAGCATTATTATTCGTGTTGAAGTAGTTTGTAAGTGTATAGATGATAAAGCTACATTTCCATATGTTTGATAGTTGCGACACTCACAATACGTTACAGATACCACCCGCAGCCCGCGGCGCGCTATCAACACTCTAAACCTTCGATAAATAATTACGACACAATATTAAAAAGGTTTATATTTTAAATAAAGTCAGTGTGTATATGTGCTGTTTATTTTAGACATCAATTAAAAAGGATCAGTTTGATAATTTTAACGACATAAATAAGACAATAATAATGCATGTATATACAAACACATTAATATCATAATGTATGCTTAAAAACGAAGGATTTTTATGTACATATATTCTACTTATATACATAGTATATACAACGAATATTATGGGAGAATGTGATGTGAAGTTTAAATTTTCCAGATTTTACTTGTGTTAAGAGTAAAAATTTGTTGGACAGTTATTGTAATGGGAAGATTTAAAAAATAAATATAATGTAAATGAGGATTAACAATACGATTACTGAGTAATGCCTCTTTGGTGGTTTCCTTGTACAGAGGGGCAAGAGGTTTAGCTCAGAATTCATAATAATAGACCTTTAAATACTTTATCTTGTTCTTAGAAAAGGTTCATTTTTAACGATTAGTTAGTTATACGTAAAGTTACCATTAGAGACTGTCTGTACTGGGATGAAATAATAATACGGAGATTGATTGATCTGGTTTAAATCGATTAAAAAAGAAGAAAAACAAATGAAATCTCTAGGAAGTTATTTATTCTGATAACGGCTTTAAAAATAAATAAAAGGAAGCGCAATAAGAAAATGAAGAAGATGCGGAGTGGTCACCACACTTTCAGTGATGTTTTATATCACTTTAAAATGTCTTGTGATTTACGTTTTACTTTATTAAGACTTCAGTTATAAGAAACAAACAATAATTATTATATTTTCTTATTAGTTTGAAGAGATAAGTTTCACTTTTATAAGTGTTAATAATAATTTAAAAAATCTCTTTATTTCAGGAATGTATTTTAAGTGTATATTAATATGTAGAACCTTGTTATATGTAATAAGTATATTACGGTAGTCACTTAATATATACGCACCGGTTTCATTTGATCTGATTGCAGAAAATTGCCTGGAAATGCTCCAATTGTTACGGCGTTTCCTTTTTTACCTGCAATATGAGTTTCCAAGTGATTTTGATATCTTATTTTATTAAATTTGAAAGTAATGAAAAAGAGTTATTATTATTTTTGATATCGGTGTTATATAATCATTGTGACATACATTTGTACCTACAAAGGTTATTATTTGTAAGCTTTGAAAATTTATCAAAAGATCAAAAGCGGGAGGCGGAATATCTAAAATATGATTATAAAGTTTTTAGAACTATTGCTAATAAACATTGAATTAGAGATGTTACTGGAAAATTGAATTATTTACGAATGAAATCGAAATGAGGTGAACAATTACGATGTTTAATAGTTTTATTACGGCTATTTAAAACATAATGTGTCAGTTTATGAAAATCACACGAATTAAATGAAGCCTTTCTCGATGGTCGTTTTTATAATATATAATAAATGAATGTCTTTAATGATATATACTTATAAATATTAAAATCTATCAACATAGACATTTAAACAGAAAAGAAAAACGCCATAACAGGAATAACATAATATAATAAAGTTGTATTTTTGAAAACCTGCGAGGATCGAATGATAAAGCATACAGTTTTAAAGTCGTTTCTAGAAAACAGAACAATATTTACTTCCATTAAAGTACTTTTAAACCAAGTTTGTAAAGTAATAACGTCTGTTGTCCTTCAGTACGATACAATATACGCTTCCATTTATAAGATGAACCTTAACGTACGTTTAAACGACTTGATGAAGAGAGGCGAAGCGACGAGACCATGACAATAAACATAAACTGATACAATGTGTTAGTTTCAGCTGTTGCTTTTAGAAAATTAAAACACACTCAGACAGTGAAAGACAGGTGT